TTAATGTAGCCTTCACTGTCTTACTCATTCTGAGCAACTTGTTTTCCAAAGAAATTTGATTTCAGATTTTTCTTGATGCACCTTTCTGTGGTGATGGCAACTCACTTGATTATTCAGTAATTTTTGTTATTCAACACAAAACATTTCACTGCATCTGTATATCCTGTAATAATAAATTTAAAAGCGAGCTTCTTCAATACTTTCAGGGCCTCTGTTCATCATTACATACCAGTAAATTTTTCTATTCATTAAATTTTCAATATTAACGATGTACATCAGAATTGTAAGAGCTTTTCTTTGATTTCAGTTGAGAAAGATGGGCCACAAAGAGACAGGTGTTATGAATGATTCATTGATCATTGACTGGATAACAGCAAACCCTGAATCACCAATTCACTTCCTTGAAAGAACAAAACATGGCTCACCAAGGGACAGTTACCTGGTTTGTTAATTAGCCGTCCTCTTTTTAATTTGCCTACACTGGTCTATTAGCTATCATTAGCGCACTCCTCAATAAGTGACAAAGAAAAAAAGAGATAAAACAAAAATTCATCAGTTTCACTCATAGTCTCCTCCATCCTGCCCCTGTCCCCCTCACTAATGAGTGGACCAGTTGGCTAAGTTATGGAAGAATCTTAGTTGCACGTGGCTCTTCTGCCTGGGACCAGCTGCCTTGTTTTTGACTGTGCCTCTCAAATATGTTATGGAGGTGCCTAGAGACTAACAATTCAGATAATTTTAAAGAAACATCTACACGTAATATGCCTAACTTATGACAACACATTTTGTTTTTAAAAATATGTGAAGATACAGAAGGTATAGAGGATAATGTTCAGAACACCGATGTACTAATCCTTCCAGATGAATGCACGTCAGCCTTGTGTAATACTGCTTCACATTGCCAAGAGAAGCTGGATAAATCTGAAATCCCCTTTGATCCTCTTTTGAGTTCTGATGTGAAATTGGAATAAGTCATTATGGTCATCATTTTCATATTGACATATTGCAGTGTATTAGTTTTAATATAGTTCATCAGCGCTCAGTCATTTCCAAGAGCATCTCATGGCAGAGATGGCGAATTACTGCCTCTAAACCATTATTCTTTTAGACACAAGACCCAAAGGTCCCAGGGAAACCTAGACTCGGCCACCAAGGATAAAGCCTGTTTTTCCCAGTCTCTGCGGCATCTAGGCAAGACCGTGTATCTACATTGTGTATAATGGGATGTGAGCAGAAATGGTGTACAGGACATCTGGATCACGCACATGGACCGGGTGCTCCCCTGTGTCTCCACCGTGATGTTTACAGGGCTGGAGCTGCCATCTCGCAGCCCAGGGATGAAGCCATATGTTGAGGATGGAAATGCCATCCTAAATGCCCTGCACTGGCACCACTCCAGACCAAGTGAGAGAGAAATAACCTAGTTAGGCCGCTGTTATGTCTGACCAGATGGCCCACACAGGATCACTACCATTTAGTTTCACTTAACAGACTGCTGGTCAAAAAGCAAACAAAAATCTCAACTAGAAAGGGCATTTTTAAGATAATTAGGTAAGTTTGAATACAGAATGAATATTAGATGTCGACCAGTCATTGCTCTTTCCTTAGATGTGTTCACTGTGTTGGGGTTATATTGGCTATACTTAGATTCATGCAGAGATCTTTACTGAATTCCTAGTGGTTTGGTGCGATGTAAGCGTAGATAGATAACAAAGATAGTGCGAGTATGGTAAAGGGTGAATTCTGAGTCTAGGTGACAGGTGTACAGATGCAGTCGTATAATTCTGTCATACTTTCTGTATGTTTGGAATTTGCCGCAATAAAATTTTGGAAAAATAAAATAAACAAGAAAGGCGTTTTTAATAGACTGTGGTGTGCACTTGGAGCTATGAGAGCACAGAGGCAAGGCACTGACCACAGCCTCAAAGGTTCACTTTGGG